GGCGAGGGTGCGCAGCACATGGCTCGCACATGGTCTGCGCGTGCGAAGGGGCCGTTGTCCTCTTCTTACTGGACCGAGGTCTAGTCCGAAGTAGGGTGTGTCCGTGGCTTCATGCGAGGGCTCGGTCACGTGCAAGAGAGTATGTGTCGCACCGCTATTGGACCACTTCGGATCAGATCAGGTGCTCGGATGACTCAGTAGCTCGGACACGTGGCTCGCCTGACTCACCCATTTCGGACACGTGGCACGTTCTAAGCGAGGACGTGGCAAATCGTGACTATGCGAATTTTCTCGGTTTTTGTGCAAAAACTTCTAAAATCCATAACTTTCGCATACGAGCTCCGTTTTTGACGTTCTTTATATGCACGCGTAGGTAAAATTACGCTCTACAACTTTCGTTTAGACTTCGTCGGCTAATTTTGAATTTAATTTTTATATTATTATTTTTAACAGACCGGGACAGGAAATCCGTTAAAAATTCATAACTTCTTCATCCGACGTCCGTTTTCGTCAGACTTTTTACCGTTGTGCTACTAATGACGAGACCTTCGATTCTCGTTTAGGTCGTGTCGGCTAAAAATCACTCGATCTAAAATTCGAGTTTTTAGCTGTCTACTGCTAAGCTGAAACTTCGAAAAATCATAACTTCCTCATACGAAGTCAGATTTGGGCGTTCTTTTTATACTTACTCTCGGTTTAACGAACACTACGAGTTTCGTTTAGATCACTAAGGCCAAAAAGTAGTTTATCGAAAACTCACTTTTTACGACATTCGGCCCCGTGCCGGTTTGTCGCGAAAGTTCGACAAGTCATAACTTCTTTGTTATTTCGGGCATTCTTTATATATCCGTAATCCTTGTCACGCCCACTACAAGTTTCTTAATAGATATCGGCTTTATCTAAAATTTAATTTTTGACGCTCATTTTTATTCTTAATTAATTAAGCCCTAATAATTAAGCATTAAACACATAATTCACATAATATTCACATAATTCCTTTTCATTTCTTCAAAATGAGTTACAAAGGTTAACCTAGACTATAATATCAATATTAATGCCTAGCCTAGAAACACGGACATTACACTTAAATGTGCCAAAGTCAAGGTAGAGTACCAGAAACCTTCAGGTTTATTACAACAACCTGAAATCCCTGAATGGAAGTGGGAGCAGATTACGATGGATTTCATAACTAAGTTACCCAAGACAACGGGTGGTTATGATACTATTTGGGTGATCGTCGATAGATTAACCAAATCCGCACACTTCTTACCAATAAAAGAAACCGACAAGATGGAGAATCTAACAAGAACTTACCTCAAGGAGATTGTTAGACTGCATGGTGTGCCAATAAACCGAGGACATGAGAGGACGATTCAAATATTAGAAGACATGTTACGAGCTTGCGTGATAGACTTTGGAAAGGCATGGGATATTCATGTACCCCTTGTTGAATTCTCTTATAACAACAGTTATCACACTAGCATAAAGGCTGCTCCATTCGAAGCTCTCTATGGCCGCAAGTGCAGATCCCCTCTGTGTTGGGCTGAAGTGGGTGACACGCAGCTAGCTAGAGGTCAAACTCCTGATAGTGGTCTCACTGATCCAGAAATCATTCGAGAAGCTATCGAGAAAATCGTACGAATTCGGGAGCGTTAAAGCTTCCAGAGATAGACAGAAAAGCTACGCTGATAAAATGAGAAAACCCTTGGAATTCCAGGTTGGTGACCGCGTCTTGTTAAAGGTCTCACCTTGGAAGGGCATTATACGCTTTGGAAAGTGTAACAAATTGAATCCAAGGTACATAGGACCATTCGAGATTCTTGCCAGAATCGGTCCTGTAGCTTACAAACTTCGACTACCACAAGAACTAAGTAACATTCATCCTACCTTCCACGTTTCGAACTTTAAAAAGTGTCTTTCCAACGAGACTCTTGTAATCCCACTCGAGGAAATTGAGTTAAACGAGAGCCTCAATTTTGTGGAAGAACCCATGGAGATTCTAGACAGGGAAGTTAAGAAAACCAAACAAAGTCGTATCCCGATAGTGAAGGTTCGCTGGAATGCAAAACGGGGACCTGAATTCACTTGGGAGCGGGAGGATCAAATGCAACAGAAATATCCACATCTTTTTCCCTACTCTATATGTAATTCTAATTTCGGGACGAAATTCTCTCTAACCGGGGGATAATGTAACAAACCGTTATTTCAAACCTATGTAATAATGTAGGTCAATTTGTAGTTCTTTTTAAAATAATAAAGAGAAATTTTCGCATACTGTGTATATTTACATAATTGACCCTCAAAAATAAAGTATTAAAAAATCTCTATTGGGATGAACCAAGTGGTAGAGATTGTAACAAGGTTTCCAAAAATATAAAGAACACTAAAATCCGAGTTATAACGAAGAAGTTATGACCAATCGAAGATCCGCGACAAAACCGGTAAAACACTGTTCAGTGTAAAAACTGAATTTTCAATAAAAGGCTTTTTAGCCTTAACAATCTAAATGAAAGTTGTATTTGATGTTAAACCGAGAACTTTCATAAAAAGAACGTCAAAATCTGACTTCGTATGAAGAAGTTATGATTTTTTTAAGTTTCAGTATAACAGTATACAGCTAAAAACTCGAAATATCGATCGAGTGATTTTTAGCCAACACAACCTAAACGAGAATTGAAGGTCTCGTCAATAGTAGTACAACGGTAAAAAGACAGACAAAAACGGACGTCGGATGAAGAAGTTATGAATTTTTAACGGATTTCCTGTCCTGGTCTGTTAAAAATAATAATATTAAAAATAAAGCCAAAATTAGCCGACGAAGTCTAAACGAAATTCATAGAATATAATTTTACCTACGCGTGCATATAAAGAACGTCAAAAACGGAGTTCGTATGCGAAAGTTATGAATTTTAGAAGTTTTTGCTTCAAAAATCGAGAATTTGTGGAAAACCGGGAAATTTCGCATGGTCACCTTTCGGCCACGTCACCTCGCATGCGAGGCTTCCCCGTGTCCACTCGTGTCCATCACTGATTGGTCCGAATTCGAGGTCCAGTGGGCATCCGACGCGCCTCGCGTCCTAGGCGTCGTCTAAGACAGATCGTAAGACGCTTCCGCACGCGCGTCTAGCCTCCGTGTCCCCTTCGCATGTCCGACGCGTGCTGATGACTAACCTCCTTCGGTGTGAGACTTCGGCCCTATATAAGGGTGCGAGGTCTTCCGAGAAATTCACACCTTTTACTCCTAAATTCATCCTTTTTCACATCTTCTACCCCCACAAGCATATTTACAACCCCCAAAGCCCCGATATCATATTTGAAACCCTAAGTAAGCCTCGAAGCCCCAAAATTCTCGAGAAGCTAACCTCTCTCCAGTCGAAACTCTGCTCGATTTAAGCCGGTTTTTCGTCAAATAAACTCATTTCCAGGAAACGAAACGCTGTCCAAATCACCACTTATCAAGTGAGTTCATACCCTCGTATTTTCATAATTTTTACTGTTTTAAAGGGGGGAATATAAGTCTAACACAAGAACTTTTGTGTTATAAATAAATGATTTCAAATCATGATAAAATGACGTTAAGTCATTAAAAATACACAAACTATTAAACTCTTTAATAAACTTATATTTTTCCCCAGAATTCATGTTTATATATATATATATATATATATATATATATATATATATATATATATATATATATATATATATATATATATATATATATATATATATAGGCTTAGGTTATTTTGTTTAAATTAATTATTGTGTTATTGTATTCATAAATATGGGCCAATCAAATTTACTTATTTTAAGAAAGTGATTAATATATATTATTGAAGTAAATATAATTGAAAAAATCATCTTAATTAATTACAAGGGTAATTTAGTCAATTAATATAGATTTAATAAAGGAAAATTGCATTTTTTAAGGGATCATAGATTCTATTAATTTTAAAAATCCGATTTTACGAATTATAATTCTTTTAATTCGGACATTCTGACAGAATATGTTTATGAGTATATTAAAAAATAAAAATATTCTTGAACCATAACTAATAAAAATATTCTTGAACCTATTTCTTTATCATGAATTTAAAAACTTCTTGTAGAATAACAAATTCTTGAACAATCAATTGAAGAATTAAAACAACAAATACATTATTTCTTATAGAATACGGGTAACAATTGTTAATAATTACATTTATTGTTAAAGAATAAAACTAAAAAAACAATCAAAACAGGAAAGAAAACATCACAATCTAACAACGACTAATACATTCTAAAAGAATAATGTGGTCCGTTTCAATTTTGTGGTCCGTTCTTCAATCATCAACTTTTGTGATTCCAACAGAATTGAAATTCGTCATTCCATTCCAACAGAATTGGAATTCTTGATTCCATTCCAATAAAATTGGAATCTCACCAACATCATCCATTGAATCATCTACATAAACATACTTGATACCTTTTCAGAATTCAACCTTGTCAAGATCCTGCACTGTTCACATAAATGAAGTGTTAAATCAAGAAAAAAAACATAAATTGAAATATGAATCAGTCCATAGAATGCATCCAAAAAACTGTTCATTCTGATATGTATATTAGCCAAAAAACTGCTTTCCCTTCCCTTACCTGTCAAACATGAAGAATATGATATACATCTTAAAATTTCAACACTTTAAAAGGTTAGGTATAAACCAATATGAATTAATTTCAAAACCACCGGACGCTGCAAAACCTAATGAACCACCACCGTTATAAGCTTGGCGAGACCTATTCTCATATTCTGGATCGTCCGTAGGCAACTCATACCGACAAACAGGACAGGAGTTATGCAGCTCCAACCAAGGCAAAATGCAATCCTGATGGTACATGTGCTTACATGGCAACTGTTTCGCTTCCTCATCAAGTTCAAAACTATCTTTACAAACTACACAATCGGAGTAATCTGACTCCAACAACTGTTTCGTGATCTTCATATTAGGAAGGTTTTCGATGGCTTATTTTGATGCAGGGGGAGTGCCATATCCATTAGGATCGTTTTCAGCAAGCTGTTGAATCAATTGTTCTAACCCAGGACCAATGAAGTAATCACCGAGATTCGATGGGAGACGAAACCCCGACGGATCTCCATCTGTGTTGTTTTCAATAACAAACTGGATGTTCGCCCCACCTGCTCGTAAGGTGTTGAGATAATTCTGTAGAAATGCAAAAGGATTAAACTCTTCAGCGTTCTGGACACCACCAGGTCGAGACATCGGACCACCAAAGAGTGCCGATAAATCATTAGGATTCTGGAAATCGCCACTCCCAGCGCCGGCACGGGAAGTGGTGGAGAAAACGAGCGGGAAGCCAGATGAGAAAGAGGAGAAAGGTGAAGGATCTTCGAAGGCGAGAAAAGGATTTGGGGTTTCCGGCCTAGGGTTAGGGTTTTCGTATTCCTCTAGGAACCCACCGTTACAATTGGGACAAACGAGTTCGGAGGAGGTGGTAGGTGAAGGTCTGATGGATACACAGGCTGATCTTGCGATTTTGGGATGTGTCGATCGAATTTGATAAGTGAAGAATGAAAAAAAGATCGTCCTTGTGGTTTTAAAAAGGGATGAAAAAATCTAGGTAGCTAAGTCAATGGTTACCATAATTATAGGCTATTATTTGTGGAAACTAATTATCAAATTACCTATTTACCCTTATTTATTTATTTAATTATTTATTTTTATTTTAAATTTTGATTGGCCCATATTTATGTATACAATAACACAATACTTAGTTTAAACAAATGAACCTATCTCTCTCTCTCTCTCTCTCTCTCTATATATATATATATATATATATATATATATGTATATATATATATATATATATATATATATATATATATATATATATATATATATATATATATAAGATTCAAAAGGCTTAGGACTGATAACTTATTCTGGGTCCTTTTCCTTGTTTGGATGTGGGCTTATAGTACCGGTTATTTGTCCGAGTGTCGTTTAAATTTTACTTATATATAATTGTATATGTATATGAATATAAAAGTTATTTCATCAATTTAAATACCATTTGTAACATGTTGAGCAAGGGGTTACATACAAAAATAGTTAAATACCGATTCAGAAAGTACATATAAATTATAATAGGTATAATTTATGATACATAGAACAATAATACATTATTCAAGTATACTAGAATACACTGTTTTACAAAAAACAAGGGTTTTGATTCAAAACAAATCAAGGGTTTACAATTGTCAAATACATGTTCGGAATACTAATCCATGAACATACAATCAATCATTATTTCAGGATGATTGAGTTTTCTTAAAAATACATGTTCGGAATACTAATCCTTGAACATACAATCAATCATTATTTCAGGATGATTGGGTTTCCTTAACCATTATACATGTAACGTTTATATGCTTTTTATGAGACACTGGTAAAGTCCTGACATTATAACTAGAATCTCCAGCCAGGGGATCAAAACAAGTTGTGTGTAGATCTATGTTGGGTTTGACAACCCCACACTCAGACTGCTAGCTACAGTCAGGCATACACGCCAATGAGTGACAATTGTTATCAACGGTTTAAACGCCTACAAGCGTTTGTTTCAGGCCATCCAGTCATAGTATGGTTATAAGAACTCATTAAAAAGATATTAACAATACGTTAGTGTATAATCACCTAAACGTAAGTACATCTTCAAAGTACCAGTTTACGAAATACAAGCTACAATTACAGTTTTCAATAACCGTTGGTGGAACCAGGCACACTCTCAGTCACAAGTTTTACAAATACAGGACAATGGTTTACAAATGGAACAGTTTTATGGGAATAAAACTACTTTTCATATACAGCAGAAAATATAGGATTTTCTGGAACAGTTTACATATTCGAGATACAGAAACATCCTTTTAAACATAAATACATATGCACTCACTCAACTTTATGTTGATACTCTCTTTTCAAATTACTAGTATTCTCAGGGAAACAATAAATAGGTACTCCCCGAGCTTTTTGAGAAGATGGAGCTATTTTTAGTCATATCTTCTTCCTTTGTATAAATATTTTGGTTTCAATATACAATGATTGAACACATGTAAATACTTATACTTTTTAAATACAATGGTTGTTCGTACTTTGATTATTATGATGCATGTGTTGTGATACTACAAATGAAGTCCTCCACCCCCGGACGTTTCCGCCGTCTGGTTTGGGGGTGTGACACGAAGTAATACCGGTCTTCAAATCCACAAATGAATACCCGAGAAGCTTCGAATACCCACTCTTCATTCTCCCACTTTTTATAATAAAAAATGATTATAAAACCCACTAAGGTTGAAAAGCGCCTGATGAATAATCTTCAGAACCCCCCCCCCCCCCTTGATGTGTGCCAAAAATGAAACCGCGAAAAACTTGCATGGAAAAACAATCATGAAAAAGCCATGAAAATTTTCCAATTTTTATGAAAATTTTCAACTTTTTGGGTGAGAGTTGCAAGAATTTCGAAAATCCGGGAAAAAATTGCCAATATCAGAATTCTGCAGGGGCCGGTTGCGCCAAAAACAGTCTCAGATGCGAAACACTCCCCAAATTGCGAAACTGGGTATAAAACGTTAATTCGCATAAACTGCAGGGGCTGAACTGTAAATTTCTCCATTTCTCAGAATGATTAGTCCTATTTCGAAGTTGGGTAGTTTCTGCCAACATCTCGAAAGTGAAAGGACTAAATGAGAACTTCTTCTTTCTTCACAAATTATTTTCATCAATTCAAATGTGGAGTATTTTGCCAAATTGTTAAAAGACCAGGGACCCAAATCGAAAATGTTTATTTTCTTCCCCATTCTCGTTACCAGTTAACCATTCGACATTGACAATCGCTCCAACCCTTTGCTTTCAATTACAAGAACCCTCTTTAACGAAGCACGTTTGGTCATCGACAACGAAGCACTCATGAGTCATCGACAACGAAGCACTCATGAGTCCTCGACAACGAAGCACTTACGGGTCCTCGACAACAAAATGTGTAAAGGTCTTCGACAAAGAATCAAAATCCATCAACCTTTCGCTTTTAATCAATCATCAATTCTTTCTGTCTTCGCATTTATAAACCATCGACATCAGCCCTTCGTTCTTAATACTCAATCTTCGATTTCAGTTTAGGCCCATCGACATCCATCTATAATGATTATCGACTCCAAGCCTTCGATCACCATTAACAGACCGATTTTGATCCCAAATCTTCCAAGTAAATTCTTCCCCTTCGAATCTCGGTAACAACCTTACAAATACCCTCAATTCTTGACCTGTAATCATTCGAAATCAAATTTACCACCATCGACATTGATACCCATCCTTTGTTTTTCAGTAACCCATAACATCAAGCCATCGACTCCAAATGTTTCAATTGTACATTCTTCCCAAATCAGATTCCTATTTTGAAAGCGAAATCAACTCTTCGAAATCGAATAGCAACCATCGATATCGATTCAAAAATCAGTCCTTCAAAATCGAATTTTCATAGTAAACCATTTGTTCATCATCAATATATCAACACAAAAGACAAGCCTTCAAAACCAACATCAATACTTTGAGACCCCAAAATCAAATTTCTAATCACACATCCTTCGCTTTTAACAAATCGATATCAAACCATCGACATTAAAACTTCTTGTGCCAGTCGACTACCAACATTCAACTTGCGACGGTCGACCTTGAGGTTGGATAACGACCTTAGATTTCGATTTCACATAATAACCCTCGAAATCACACCTTCGCAGTCGATTTCATCCATCAAACCGAAATCAATACGAACTACTCAAAATCGATTCGAATAACTGCTATGAGCAACAACATCAGCCAAAATTGATTTCAACCCTTTGAAATCGATATACTCGACAACAAGAACAACTCGAAATCTTCCGATTGTTTGAAACGAAATTTCAAGCACTTCGATTTTGATTCCCTGCTCTTCTATTGTAAATGGCCGAAACAGATTTTGACTAGGGTTAAAACAAAATCTGTGATGAACAGTGTTGGTATAATGTTTGGGCTCAAATGAGTAGGATGAACAGTAACGAAAATATGATTGGGCTAAGATGTGTGGATCGAATGAACAATTTTTTTTTTGAATTTGATTTTGGTTTTTGGGATTTTAATAAAACAAAAATAATTGGATCAATCAATGGGGTAGAAACGGATTTGATCCAATGAGACAAAGCGATCAAAAATGAAAAACGCAAAACACGTATCGAAATCATGGACGTTTTGGAATCCATTTGAGAATTTGAGATACTTTTTGACGATCCGAGCTCCATTTGCAACAAACGAATCAAATTTTGAAGATCTTGATTCTTTTGTTCGAACGAGAAAATCTCCAATTTGAACATTATACCACCCACGATGCGTGTTGTACAACTCGTTCTTCATGTTCTTCAATGATTTAAGAACATCTTCATAAGAACCATCAACACTTTTGGGTTTTGACTTCAAATTCAATACAACACTTGGAGATTATTGCTTTGGAACCCAAATCTACTTCGTGGATTTTGACTTCACAACAACATTTGATGATTTTTGTGAATAAACCCGCTTGTTTTTACGTTTCATCTTCTTCTTCTTTTTCTTTTTCATCTTCTTGCATCTTGAAGATTTGAATTCATGAACAAACCCATTTTCCACAACTTCAACTTGACAAGTTTGGATCATATCTTTTGGAGTTTAATATTTGTGAATTTCTTGGATTAACGGATTTCGATAATGAATCATTCCTTCAAACGAATCACAAGTACACAAAATATCATCGGTTTGAACTCCAATTGAGCAAAAATCTTTTTCATCTTCATGAGAATCAACTTGAATCTTCTCATCATGAACTTCAAGAACACTAAGAATATCACACTGAATTCCATAGTCTTGAACTTCAACATACTTAAGAGCATGAAGATCACTTGGGTTTTCAATAAGAGAAATGTATTTCTTATTAAACAAAACTCTTTCTTCTCCTTCCTTTTGATTTTTATTCCAAGATACCATGATCAAGGAGATTTCAACCAAGCATCCAATCTTCGAAAGTGGTTGAAAAATCAATCTTCCATGATCATCCTTCAAATCTCCATAAGAAACCATAGTACCCCATGAAATCAAGCGACCCTTTAACAATAATCCATAGAATTGATTTTCGTTGACTTTGTATTTGACATCTTCAATGATCACAACCCAAGAATCATAAGTCAAGTACACCATATTTAATCAATCTATGAGATCTTGAGTTTTTCTAGAGAGAGAAAGTGATTTTAATGGGTTTTCTAGAGAGAGAAAGCAAAAATCACTTGAATTCTAGTGAAGAAACTCGAATTATGAATTGAATCAAGGATGAATTCGATTTCTAGAATCCAAAGAATCTCTAAAGCACGAAGATAAAAAATCAAATGAAGAATCACCAAATCTAGAATGTCATCATGGATCAATTCTTGATCAAATCAAGAACACCCGCTCTGACACCAATTGTAGTGGTGTTGATTATGATTACAAATGTGGAATATAAAATGATCTAGTGAATCATACAAGAATCATGAACACGAAGAACACAAGAGTAAATAAATATGGGTTTACCTCTCATTAGTTTCTTAGAAAGAGTACAAGTGGGTTGTAATATTTCTCTCTCTAAACTAATGCTCTCAAAGTTCTTCCTTTGATAAAATGAGTGTCACTCACTTCCTTATAAAGGAAAGACAACTCATTACACACATACAAAGGAGTAAGCACACATGACATCCAAGAGTGACTTTGCACCCTAACATCCTCTTCCTTTTAAAGATGATCTTCCACATTCTGATCAAGATGAAAGTATGTTCCCTTTTTCAAGCAATGGTGGAACTGAAAGTCATGCTTCTTCAAGTCTTCTTCCTCCTCCTCCTCCTCCAGTGACTCTCCCTAAGTCATTTTTTCTTCAAGCTGAAAATTACGAAGTTACTCAAGCCCTGTTGGCATGTAAAAATGAAGATGAAAAGTCTATGTGTGTGCATGTTCTGAATATGAAATCGTACATTGACAGATTGGGAATGTTGGGTATCGTTTTCACAAGGGAGCTAGCCATTTAGTTGGTTTTACTTTCGCTTCCTGAGTCATATAGTTAATTCATTAAAGACTGATATATGACTGGCCACGACGTGACCGTAATTGATCTGACACATATGTTGATTGTTGTTGAAGTATAAATGCTTAGGATCACAAGTCAATCAAAACTTTTTAAAGTATTTTTCTCCTAAATTTCCATGGGCTTTGACGATGGCAACAATGGTAGTCCAGAAAAGGTTTGTCTTCCCAATAGAAAGGGATTGGCCAAGGTCAAACCGTTTGACCATATGGTAAAGAGAAATGCTAGTTCTGAGATAATTCCATGCACTAATCCAAAAAGGTCCATATGTTTCTATTGCCAATTGGAGGGGAATTGGTTGCAAAGATATCATGGCTACCTGAAAGATCTTAGAGATGGTAAAGTCAAATTGTATGACTCCATTTCAGGTACATTCATTATCTAACTCCATTATTTTAATAAGTTCCTATTCATAGATTCTTAATACATGATGTGATGATCACATTTTGATGCTTTGCATGATCTAAGAGAAAGAGGGAAGCTTAAGAAGAGTAAGCTGAATCTGATCGTGAGAGATGGATTTCTATCGCATAATTCGATGATCACATTGTGGAGCTACTGCTAACGATTTATGATAGGTTGCTTAGGAAATGTCTAGAAACATTGTTTTTCATTTCTGCATTGTAAGGACAAGTATTACTAATAAAAGTCAAATTTTGTTTGGTTTACTTTATATTTCCTTGCAATGGAATTTATTAAAGTGTTGGTTACATTTCTATTGTTGGGAATATTAGTTATGGATTTGATTCTTGTTGTTTCATTCGTGGAAATGTTGTAATTAACTAAGTGATTATGAATTATCATCACCCAAGTTTCAAATGTATAGAGACTTGGATTCATGCAATTTGAATTGCGTGATGTATGAGAATCTTGGTCATTGGAAGATTATGATTAATTCATTGATCACATGTTCATGTAAGTCAAGTGAAGTACTAATGGATCTAGTACACATTGATGTGGACCATTCAGATCTGCCACAAAGGATGATAACTTTATTCGTCAATATTTATTGATGCTTCAGTAAAAATGGTTGTGTTTATAAGCTTAATCACAATTTTGATACTTTGAAAAGTATCAAAAAGTAGCAGAACGAATATGAAGAATCTATCAGGCATAAAAATAAAAGTTTCTCCATCTGAAAGGAAAGGATAGTACTTTAGTATCGTGTTCTGTGATCATCTTGATGATTGTTGAACTATATCACAATTGATCCTCGAAGAAAATTTTAGTGCAATTGTATGAATAAGAATAGGAATCGGATATTGTTGAAGAAATGGTTCAATCGAGAGATGAGTCATACTTCGTTTCCAATCAAGTTTTAGAGTAATACTCTAATTACTACACATCATATCTTGAAAATTATTTCGTACTAAGTATGTTTATAACACCTCATGAAATGTGGAGTAATAATTTTTTCTTACTCTAGCACATTGGAATTGGAAGTTGTGATGTTTTGGTTAAAAACAAAGGATGAACTAAGACCAATTCATGAAGTGTTTCTTGTCGAGAGTTTTTGGCTCGTCAAGGATTGTTCCTTGAGAAAAAAAAACTTATATGTGAAGAAGTCAGTGGGAGTCTTAATGATCTTGAAGAGTTTCAGGAGTCAATCAAGAATAAACCTTTTAGTTATCACTAGCACACGACCTAAGGTTGATGACCTATTGTGTTAAGTTGACACATTCTTGTTTCTGTGCACCTTCCAGTTGAGTTGGCAATGCTTATGAGTTCTATGGTTCTCATTTGACTGCAAAAGGCAGAGCACGTTGGTCAGTGATAGTACATTGGTCAATGGAAGTGAGCTGCTTAAACAAAATGGAGGCACCGGTAGGCCCTTGTGCTAGCAGAAGGCAAGGAATTAAGAACAAGTAAAGTTCAGTACATTAAAATTTGAATTTATCAT